GATATTATCAATGGGACATTTCCCGACAAAGCGGGTCGATGGAAGATGAATTTGACTCCGCAGCCTGTATGTGTACGAAGCACTTTGGAAATGGTTTGAAAATACAAGTTTGCAAAAAGTTCTCCGTGAGGAAAATCCATTTCCGGATAGTTCAGTGCAATACAAATCGATTTTATATCTATATTATATTTTGGTTGACATTTTAATATAAATTAAGTCTTTATAAAAACGTTGAACCATAACTTATGAAAGTAGGTTCAACGTTTTTATAAAGATTTGATCAAAGATATGTTATAGGTATAAAACACATTTGGATTCAATTTTACAAAATTTTCTAAAACATACTTCGTTAAATGCGCATGTCTTGGGGTAGCATCCAGATCGTTAATTTGCAATTATTCATATCAATATGTTCATATTATTAATTTTTTGATGTAATCCCTATTTATAAAAAGAATAAAAGTGACAAACCAGCACGCAGTCCACCTGGTGGTACTTGGATGCTGTGGTTCATAGACATATACATCTATCCTTGATTAAGAATCAAAATGCAGATGCGTTGTCACTCCTAAGCACTAAGATGGAATTCCTTTTATCCAGTAAAATGGGTCTACGGTTCTCTACATTCACCATGCGAAACGCACTAACATTAAACAGCTGTTTTATGTTGCTATTCTGTAAGTGTTAGGTTCTTCCCCAGACGTACTGACCCATTAGTGCTACAACCATAATATCTCTGCACCATGATTTTACCAAAAATATTTCATTTTGTGTACCTAAATAAATAAATGAATAAAAACGAAACATTTTTAAAGCAATATCGCATATCATAAAGCCCTCAAAAGATCTTTTGTCAGTAATGTGATGTTGTACATTTGAGACATTAGAGATGGTTAGTTCCCGGACACGCGATATGTTCATTACAGATATTTATTTTTGCAAATAGAATCCTTTGAAATTATTTGTTATTAATTTTTATGTTCAATAAAGTATATTCATATAATATTAATAATAATAATGCAAACATGTTGATTTTTTGCAGATGCCAATTTTGTTCTATCAATTTATTAATGAAAGAGCCCGTATATTTTCAGGTGAGGTTTGCCATCTTTATATTCAGAAATCGCAACGCACCAGAAGCCTAATCTATTTGAAGTTGATTAAAGGTGTAAATGAGCTACGCTATTGTCTCGTACTAGAACTATATAATTCTATCGATTTTATATTATTTAATGTAAATAAGAATAAATAATTTATAAATGAAATGTATGTTTGAATATGGTTTTAATTAATTTAAAACCACATTCAAACGCCGCACTGAAGATTTCGTTTCCAGCGTTTCCAGCGAGCGTGTGTAATCACACTGTGAGTAGAGAGTGTATAATTATTTAAACCAAGAGGAGTTGAAATATTTCAATATGACATAACATAAATAAATCAGAAACATATTTTACGTGGTAGAACCAAGCTGCAGCAATAATACGGTTGTAGCAGGAATGGGTCGGCTCGACCGGGGAAGGACCATGCTTACACTGAACATCAGCGTAAAATAGCAGCTGAATGCTGCTGTGTTTTGTTAGTGAGTTTGGAGAACCGAAGACCCTTTTTACTAGAAACGAAGCATTTCATCTTAGTACTTAGGCGTGACGTCGCATATCCGCATTTCGATTCTTAATCGAGGATAGATGTAGATGTGTATGAGCCACAGCATGAACTTACTATTACCTGGACTGTGTGCTCGTTTATCATGCTTATTCTATAAAAGAAAATATTTATAAAATCTTCTGACTGAGAAAGTTGTGCTATTCACAGGAACTTAATAGTAATGTAGATGGATTTCTGGATAAGCTTTATAAGTACGGAGCAATAACTAAATATATGTTCTGAATACAGAATAAGACCAATCCATTACAGTAACGTTGAATACGAAATAAATGGAATCGTGATGAGAATGCTGGTGAATGGAAAACATTAGCTCTTTTTTATTTAACTATTCCTGGCTCGAGTTTTCTTTAACTTCCGATTCCGAATGAATAAATACGAGCTTAATATTACGTATACTATCGGTAAACAGTTTTGCTAGTAATTTCGTTGCGGTGAGAAAATGAGGATATTTGATCACGGATGTGTTGCTTTTACCAAACCACGCGTTAGTTCACCAAAGCCAACTATGGCTACTCCACTCTTTATTTCTCAGCACACTGAGAAAAGTTTACGAATGAATAATATTCAATCGCCCCCGTAAATACGTGTTTGCCAAACCAGCTTCTTCCTGACGAGCAGTTCGTTTTAAGAACAGATCACTCATGCACCAATCAGTAACCATTAAAACCTTAACATTGGTATTCGGTGGCCCCGTAACGATTTAATCACACCCCAGTTCTGTTAGATTCCGACGACCCAAATGTCGCCGGCCGTCACACACAAACACTACACAATCACCTTTGGCCACAAATACTGTCAGGATAACGGATGCTACGCAGCGACTTCACAGACGGGCGCGTCGCACACCCCTCCACACCGCGTACATAACGCACAGCCACGTCTCTGGGCGGTTCTTACCGCCCAGAACATCGAAAGATATGAGTCAGCCGTGACAACTCACCCACGTGCACTATACACTGTCGTAGTAGTAATTATTTTAATTCACCCTTTCGAAGCACGCTGACTTCCAGGCTGCGGACCCTGAGACTCATGAAGATGTAAAAACCAAAGGACTAACAGCATTAATATTATGAGAAACTAGACCAAAATTTATTTTTGTATTTTATTTATTTAGAAAAAGGAAAGAATGAAGAAAGAAAAAAAATTGAGAAATAAATTAAGAAATAAAAGCCTTATTGTAGTACAAAACAATGTCATGGACAAAAAACAAAAAATGTTCATCGGTCAGCAGGGTATTTCTCCAGTCGTTATGGATAGCCATCCCATCGAATTATGAGAATAAAGGAATAGAGAGTGTGCATTTGCTTGCGCATATACTCGTGCACCGTTCTGCGCAGATGGCTCGTCCCTGTTTTCAAACTTGGTAGAGCCATGCTGCAGCTATAATTTCATGCTTGTGGTACGATGGATCAGTAAAATCAGGGATGAGCCACATTCTTACAGAAAATCAGCGTAAAATAGCAGCTTAGTGTTACCGTATTTCGTATAATCAGTATAGATAAATGGAGAATTTTATAGTGGAAACGAGGGATTCTATCTTATTAATTTTGGCAGGTGGATGGACAATCGCAGTTTTAAACTTTTTTTAAGTTCTTATCGGGAAGGTTCTTAAGCTGCTCATCTTCTGTTTGAATTTTCTCTGTCTCCTCTTACGCTGCTCATCTTCTGTTTGAGTTTCCTTTGTCTCCTCTTACGCTGCTCATCTTCTGTTTGAGTTTCCTCTGTCTCATCTTACGCTGCTCATCTTCTGTTTGAGTTTCCTCTGTCTCCTCTTACGCTGCTCATCTTCTGTTTGAGTTTCCTCTGTCTTTTCTTACGCTGCTCATCTTCTGTTTGAGTTTCCTCTGTCTCATCTTACGCTGCTCATCTTCTGTTTGAGTTACCTCTGTCTCCTCTTACGCTGCTCATTTTCTGTTTGAGTTTCTTCTGTCTCATCTTACGCTGCTCATCTTCTGTTTGAGTTTCCTCTGTCTCCTCTTACGCTGCTCATCTTGTTTGAGTTTACTCTGTCTCCTCTTACGCTGCTCATCTTCTGTTTGAGTTTCCTCTGTCTCCTCTTACGCTGCTTATCTTCTGTTTGAGTTTCCTCTGTCTCCTCTTACGCTGCTCATCTTCTGTTTGAGTTTCCTCTGTCTCCTCTTACGCTGCTCATTTTCTGTTTGAGTTTCCTCTGTCTCATCTTACGCTGCTCATCTTCTGTTTGAGTTTCCTCTGTCTCCTATTACGCTGCACATCTTCTATTTGAGTTTCCTTTGTTTCATCTTACGCTGCTCAATGTCTGTTTGAATTTCCTCTGTATCATCTTACGCTGCTCATCTTCTGTTTGAGTTTCCTCTGTCTCCTCTTACGCTGCTCATCTTCTGTTTGAGTTTCATCTGTCTCCTCTTACGCTGCACATCTTCTGTTTGAGTTTCCTCTGTCTTCTCTTACGCTGCTCATCTTCTGTTTGAGTTACCTCTGTCTCCTTTTACGCTGCTCATCTTCTGTTTGAGTTCCCTCTGTCTCCTCTTACGCTGCACATGTTTTGTTTGAGTTTCCTCTGTCTCCTCTTACGCTGCTCATCTTCTGTTTGAGTTTCCTCTGTCTCCTCTTACGCTGCTCATCTTCTGTTTGAGTTTCCTCTGTCTCCTCTTACGCTGCTCATCTTCTGTTTGAGTTTCCTCTGTCTCCTCTTACGCTGCACATCTTCTGTTTGAGTTTCCCCCGTCTCCTCTTACACTGCTCATCTTCTGTTTGAGTTTCCTCTGTCTCCTTTTACGCTGCTCATCTTCTGTTTGAGTTCCCTCTGTCTCCTCTTACGCTGCACATCTTCTGATTTTGTTTCCTATGTCTCCTCTTAAGCTGCTCATCTTCCGTTTGAGTTTCCTCTATCTCCTCTTACGCTGCACATCTTCTGTTTGAGTTTCCTCTGTCTCCTCTTACGCTGCTCATCTTCTGTTTGAGTTTCCTCTGTCTCCTTTTACGCTGCTCATCTTCTGTTTGAGTTTCCTCTGTCTCCTCTTACGCTGCTCATCTTCTGTTTGAGTTTCTTCTGTCTCCTCTTACGCTGCTCATCTTCTGTTTGAGTTTCCTCTGTCTCCTCTTACGCTGCTCATCTTGTTTGAGTTTCCTCTGTCTCCTCTTACGCTGCTCATCTTCTGTTTGAGTTTCCTCTGTCTCCTCTTACGCTGCTCATCTTCTGTTTGAGTTACCTCTGTCTCCTTTTACGCTGCTCATCTTCTGTTTGAGTTCCCTCTGTCTCCTCTTACGCTGCACATGTTTTGTTTGAGTTTCCTCTGTCTCCTCTTACGCTGCTCATCTTCTGTTTGAGTTTCCTCTGTCTCCTCTTACGCTGCTCATCTTCTGTTTGAGTTTCCTCTGTCTCCTCTTACGCTGCTCATCTTCTGTTTGAGTTTCCTCTGTCTCCTCTTACGCTGCACATCTTCTGTTTGAGTTTCCCTGTCTCCTCTTACACTGCTCATCTTCTGTTTGAGTTTCCTCTGTCTCCTCTTACGCTGCTCATTTTCTGTTTGAGTTTCTTCTGTCTCATCTCTTACGCTGCTCATCTTCTGTTTGAGTTTCCTATGTCTCCTCTTACGCTGCTCATCTTGTTTGAGTTTCCTCTGTCTCCTCTTACGCTGCTCATCTTCTGTTTGAGTTTCCTCTGTCTCCTCTTACGCTGCTTATCTTCTGTTTGAGTTTCCTCTGTCTCCTCTTACGCTGCTCATCTTCTGTTTGAGTTTCCTCTGTCTCCTCTTACGCTGCTAATTTTCTGTTTGAGTTTCCTCTGTCTCATCTTACGCTGCTCATCTTCTGTTTGAGTTTCCTCTGTCTCCTATTACGCTGCACATCTTCTATTTGAGTTTCCTTTGTTTCATCTTACGCTGCTCAATGTCTGTTTGAGTTTCCTCTGTATCATCTTACGCTGCTCATCTTCTGTTTGAGTTTCCTCTGTCTCCTCTTACGCTGCTCATCTTCTGTTTGAGTTTCATCTGTCTCCTCTTACGCTGCTCATCTTCTGTTTGAGTTTCATCTGTCTCCTCTTACGCTGCACATCTTCTGTTTGAGTTTCCTCTGTCTTCTCTTACGCTGCTCATCTTCTGTTTGAGTTCCCTCTGTCTCCTCTTACGCTGCACATCTTCTGTTTGAGTTTCCTCTGTCTCCTCTTACGCTGCTCATCTTCTGTTTGAGTTTCCTCTATCTCCTCTTACGCTGCACATCTTCTGTTTGAGTTTCCTCTGTCTCCTCTTACGCTGCTCATCTTCTGTTTGAGTTTCCTCTGTCTCCTTTTACGCTGCTCATCTTTTGTTTGAGTTCCCTCTGTCTCGTCTTACGCTGCACATCTTCTGTTTGAGTTTCCCATGTCTCCTCTCAAGCTGCTCATCTTCTGTTTGAGTTTCCTCTGTCTCCTCTTACGCTGCTCATCTTCTGTTTGAGTTCCCTCTGTCTCGTCTTACGCTGCACATCTTCTGTTTGAGTCTCCTATGTCTCCTCTCAAGCTGCTCGTCTTCTGTTTGAGTTTCCTCTGTCTCCTCTTACGCTGCTCATCTTCTGTTTGAGTTTCCTCTGTCTCCTCTTACGCTGCTCATTTTCTGTTTGAGTTTCCTCTATCTCCTCTTACGCTGCACATCTTCTGTTTGAGTTTCCTCCGTCTCCTCTTACGCTGCTCATATTCTGTTTGAGTTTCCTCTGTCTCCTTTTACGCTACTCATCTTCTGTTTGAGTTTCCTCTGTCTCCTTTTACGCTGCTCATCATCTGTTTGAGTTCCCTCTGTCTCCTCTTACGCTGCACATCTTCTGATTTTGTTTCCTATGTCTCCTCTTAAGCTGCTCATCTTCCGTTTGAGTTTCCTCTGTCTCCTCTTACGCTGCTCATCTTCTGTTTGAGTTTCCTCTGTCTCCTCTTACGCTGCACATATTCTGTTTGAGTTTCCCCCGTCTCCTCTTACGCTGCTCATCTTCTGTTTGAGTTTCCTCTGTCTCCTTTTACGCAGCTCATCTTCTATTTGAGTTCCCTTTGTCTCCTCTTACGCTGCACATCTTCTGTTTGAGTTTCCTATGTCTCCTCTTACGCTGCTCATCTTCTGTTTGAGTCTCCTCTGTCTCCTCTTACGACAGCCACAGGATGATATCGGACAGTGTATATTCTTACACCACCACTACGCATTACACTTACAAAAACGTTAATTTCTTTTAAAGCCGGCTCTGTGTGGTTAAGCATACAAAAATTTTGTAAATGATTACGATGTTACAAAAAAAAAGTATCCTAAAATTTTCTTACTCTAATTTAAAGCAGGTACCAACATTTGGGTACAATATTTATCACCATACTTTATTTATGGAAAACATGCAATTCTCGAGACACCACGAGATAGGCCGAGTACGAGTGTGTAAAAGGGTCTCATGAGTTTCGCGATGAAAACGAGATAATACTCTATTCTATTCACTGTACATGGTACTGTTACCGTAAATAGAAACTATCCACCATCTCCTTCTTCGCAATGGCTTATTAATTTTATTTTTTAGTAAACGTGTAAAAAATTATAATAACTCAAAGGCAAAACGCAGCAACAGTTTTATCTAGGTCCATCTCTGCGGGCGTACGGAGTTCAAATGATACAACGATTGTGTACATGGTGTGTTCTCGTGTCGAGCCTTTACGCGACGAGAGGCACACGAGGCGACGAGAAGTGCGTGTACACCCGCCATTTGAATTTATTATACGGCAAAGCACAAGCATCGGTACTAAATCAAATGAAAATTTATTTTTTCGATCTGCAATTCGCTTCAAAGGGACTACTAACTTCCTGCCTTGGGTTATTATTTTTCTTACTTTTTTTTACAACAGACTTGAGTACCAGTACCGGAAAAGACGCGTTAAGACCACAAGTAAGAGTCTTCAGCACAATTGTGGGATACCGTCAGGCCCACTCGACTTGTAGATGTCTAGGGAGAGGAGTGCTTTGCTAACCGAGCACTATTTAAACCACGCCTCCGGCTTACAGCACTCACACCGCGGGATGGTCGGCGGCGTACTCCCCCCGTCATCGAGAGTCAAGTTAGACTCAAAGAAAGAGCCTAGCAGATCGGCTTTCTCCTTTGCGGCATGGGCCAGTGAGTCGTCCTTACAAACCTACAGTCCGCCAGATGATTAGTGGCATCAAGTAAGAAAGGATTTTGGAAAATTTAAACCCTCACGAGGTAAAATATGGTGTTCCAGTTTTTAAGAAACTTTTTCAACGGGGCGATTTCATATATTATATATATATATATATATATATATATATATATATATATATATATATATATATATATATATATATATTATTTTTGTAACTTGCATCGGGGCAGTATTGAATTTGGCGATACGAGCGAAGCTTCGGAGCGAAATAAAGTGAACTAAAGTGTTAAGTGTGAATGATTATTAGTGTCTTTTAAGTTTTAATTGGTGTTCGGTAATTAAAGTGTTAATTTTGGTAATTCAATCGACAGTTTCTATTGTCACAAACCCTAAGCTCGTAACAGTAAACTTTTGGATTAAAATATTGAAATTCGTTTTTCTTCTAATATGCTTTCAATGCAATGTTTTTAATTAATGTAATTTTATTACTTTTATCTGGCAAAGGCGATGAAAAGTACTGGTTTTATTCTTGCTCCACATGGTTAAATTACTCATTACTCATAGGCGAAATAGCAAATATTACCAATGTTAACTTTCTTAGGATATATTTACTCTAAATGCGTTCTGATTTAGAGCTGTTTAATAGCATCTATCTGTTAAAAATACAAACTCAGTAAACAGTTCAACAAAAAAATAAAGTTCAAGCCCATAAGAGTCAACAGCTGAGTTTAGGCATTCTCAAATTGTTGAGAGGGCATTCATTCTCTAAACGTAAATTTTAAAATTGGGATTTAATAAAAAAGCGCGTGTTAGTGCATTAATATAATTATTTGTCAAGTAATTTTTTTAAAATTGAATAAAAATCTTATTATCAGATTTTTTTTATGAACAAATAGCGTTCATAAAAATTATTTTACTTACGTATTTTAGTTTTTCCATTTACCGACAGGTGTCACCGTCCACTATTTACTATATCTTCTACATAAATAAAAGGTGTCTTTAGTGATTGACTGATGAGTCTTAATATATGATGTATCAAAGCACATACGAAAACGCTTGTCGTAGAAAACAGAAATTTGGACATTAGTTACAATTTACATAAAATGACATCCACTAAAAATCCATCACAACCACTCCTTGACTGTAAGAGGTGGAAAATTGTTATTTAAAGCAGTAAAATTTCCTATTGTGTACAGATTATTATTATTGCATTTCACAATTAGATGGCGTTAGCGCTGAATTAAAAGAAAGTTCTATTACCGTCACAGGTTATATTAAAAGGTTTCGAATATATTTTTGTTTATAATTTTTTTATTTTAATTATTTCTGTTTTTGAGAATTTAAGTGTTATGTGTTTTAACGCTGAATACTTTTAATTTTATTACGTTCTAACTCTAAAACATACCCATCAAACCCTTTAGATCGAATATCGGCATGGTAGCCAGTTTCAACTGAGACTAACCATACACAAAAAAACATAAACATTAAGCCACTGAGAATATCAAGTCAAGTTTTCTATCTAATGATACCTAAAGATAGAACACTTGACTGACTTTGGGATTAATCGTACTTATTCTCCGAAGGTCTTTTGGAGACTTTCTTCGGTTGAGTTTAGTATTATTTTTCATTCTATTGCAGGTAGAAATAAAATTATATACAAACGTTATTACATTGATTTTGTTAATTTAATTTAAGTACTTAATTTTAGATAGGCATTAGATTGTAGTTTTTATTTTAATTATTTTTAATATTAATAGAAATGTGGTGCATAATGCCAAAGTAAAAACTTGAGCTTGCTTATTTAAGGCAATCTCTTATCTGTTGTATAGAAACCAGGTGTTGACTAGAGAATTTCGGTAGCACATTGTTTTTTACGTTATAGCAGTCGTTTTTTTGTTTATTTATAATATGAATCATAAGCGTATAGTTTGCCAATTCGTTTCTAGGTTTGATTATGAGTCTACCCATTAGATTATTTATGGAAACGGCTATTTGTTTGATTGATATTTTTATCCAGATTAGAGTTTTCCTAAGTCTTTGCGATAGTTAAAAGTACAAATTAATAATAATTGTAAATTATTTTAAGAAAATCACTGATTCTTCGCGAACGAAATATATACACATATTCCTATAAACAAATATAACGAGTTTATAGGAATAAGTTATCGTATGCAAATACGTGTTGAGAAGCAAAACAATAAATAATAGTGTTCATGTAAAAACTTAATGAGCCGTGGTAGCTCAGTGGTTAACGCTCGCTGTAAATATAACAGAACGCGAGTAACCCGGGTTCGATCACCGCCGGCACCAATGAAATTGTTAATTGCAATTTTAAGTGCTGATTTACCACGTGCTCGGCGGTGAAGGAAAACGTCGTGAGGAAACCTGCATGTCTGAGGAATAAGAAAAAAAAATATTTCGAAGACATATGAAGTTCGTCAACAC